CGCTGCCCCGCGCCGGACCTGCCCGCGGCGCCCTGCGATGCTGCCCCTGGCTGTACCGCCCTCTCAGCTGGCGTGGAAAGGCCCGTGGCTACCTTTGGCTTTTAGAGCACCAGCTCAAAAACGCAGACGTGGACCTTTTGTTCCCAGCTCTTCCAACAACAACTTTTTTTATATGCTTTTGCTTTTCTAAAAAGGAACTCAATTTCCAAAAGGAATGGATAGTTTGCTGGTATGAACGTCCACCAGCTAAAAAAAATACAGGAGCTTTGTTCCCCTTGGTGTTATGTACTGAACTGAGGCATTGAAGGATTTGGCTACAGTCAGCTGTCCACACAGAAAAAGGTGGCACTTTCAGAGTCAGATTTCGCCCAATTTAGGTTCTGAATTTCCCTCCAGAGGCTCCTGTTTTTCTTCTTTGGTTGTACAATAACTCGGCTTTTACACTCAGGACTCACTTGGTGCCTGTAGCTAAGCGGGAAGAACCTGGGTGAATGTGTCAAACATAATTGATCTCCTCCACTACCTTACTTCTGGAAATCCCATGGAGGAAGCAGTTCTGGTCTGCTACGTATAGGCTTACATGTGTCAGGTCAAGCATTTTGACACATGTTATGAGACGTCTTTGAAAGGCTGTGCATCGCTTGCGGAGGAAACAAAATGTGTGAGGTGAACTGAAGGTTTGGATAATTCATGATCTTTGTTTTTCCTGTTTCCATCCACTCAGTCTGAGTTTGCCTGCCAAGGGATGCAGCCTAGGGGGTTATGAGTTAAATCTATCCCATAAAATTGCCTCTCCTCACACAGCTTAGACACACTGTGTGGCTTTAACCCCTCAGCCCCACAGAAGAGAAATCCAAGGCAGCAGTCTGGAGGAATCTGTAGAGCTTGTGGGTCTCCTTCTGTGTCTCCCTGCAAGGCTACAGGTGCCAGCCAGCATTTTCTATTAAGCCCCAAAATCTTTGACTTCTATAAGAATATACTTATTTTGTGATTTTCTGTTTTCACACCGCACCAGTTGGTCTGTCATTAATGCAGTGAATTTCACCTTCTGCAAAGTTAAAAATTCATGTTCCTAAAAAATGATGGGAAATCGGCAAAGAAGAACTAAATTGAGCCAAAGCTTACAGTACTAGTCAACCGTAACAAGTAATTATAATAGCCCCATGGTCATTTCACTCACAGCTTGACAGAGAAAATAACAAGAAAACAAAATATTTTTTTTCTTGAATGTTAAAAGTACGTGGCCAGGTTGACTTCTGCTGATGACACATCAAAAGGTGTGGGCCCTGTTGACTGAGTAAGTACAGCAACATGAATTATTTGCAGCCCCCTACCCTGCAAGGGGCTGAAAGCAGCCCGGTACAGGCTGGGCGATGGGTTGGCCCAGCTGTGCAGCCGGTGCAGCCAACATCTGCTGGCGATGTGCTGATGTGACTTGCAGATGCTGCTGGTGGCAGCGGTAAGGAGCTGAGATGTAAAGCTGCTCCTTGCAGAGGAGGCGCCTGGGGGAACGAATGCAGTCAGCGGTGCCACTGCCTGTCCTTCCTCACAGTGAACTCCTGGCAGGAAATAACCATCGCAACCTGTACCGCTGTTATGATTTCAGGATCAGCTAAGCCTGTGATTTTCAAACCATTTAGCCTGGGGTAAAAAAAGAGGTTTTGGTTTTGTGGCTTTTTTAAAATACAAAATAAGAAAAGCATGTAGTTGAGTTGGCTTCGGCTGCAATATAAGGGCAGTAGATGCAGGCTCTGTCCCAGGATGAATTAGGAGGTTGGGACACAGGAAGGTCTGCAAAGAAGCTTTAGACAGTGCGAAGCCTGGAAAGAAGAGCAGCCTATCCTTGAGATCTCCTTAGATCTTATCCCAGATTATACTGTGTGCAGAAATATTGCATTCCTAAATGTGTCAATCCCTTCCATGAAGTTTCTCCTATTTTTTATTTCCTAATACAGATAGCCTCAGAAGACTTCCTTGGGTCATTATCAGGATTAGTCTGCAGAAATGATCTCCTGTTCTTATGGGAAAAGTACTTTTTTGTAACCTTGTTCTCAGGTGTAAGGGCCATAAGGGCCGTATTTCCTAAAGACAGTTACGTTTTCCATTTGTTGTTTTGTTCTGAGGATGTAGTGAGGGTCTATTCTGTTAAACCAAAACTCTTTCTATATAAATTTCATTCGAAGGCTCTTGTTTTTTTTCTTAGAAACCTGCTGAGACCATCTTGGTGCTTTTCTATAAGGAACTACCTCTGCAGTATGTTAGTATTGCCAAGAGAGATGGTGTGTTAAGCTGTTTTCTTTTGTTTCACGTGATGCATTAAAAAAAAACCATTGTTGTTATTAAACACAAAATAAGAACGTGTGGCCTAGACTAAACATGTGTGTCTGTAACTTTTTTCTTCTATTGTCTTTTTAAAAACATTTATCCAATAACGAAAGGAATACATAAAATGTTTGGACAAATATATGTTTTTAAAAGACTGTGTCTCCATTCACAGGAAATCACTGATAATGAAATATTAGAGTTGGTACATAGTGCTCTGGGGAGGATGACAGTTATCCGGCAAATTTTCCCTCTCTCAAGGGACAACAACCAGAGATGCATGAGGAACAATCACCGAATATCATCACTGCTGTGCGATCCACAAGAAGGTTATCTTCAGATGCTGCAGGTCAGTAGCTGTGCCCAGCAGAAAAGTCTATCTTAGGAATTTGACGTGAGATAGTTTTCTGTGACTGTATTAACTCAGAGGAGGAATAAAATGGTTACAGATAAATCTGAGCATGTAACCTTCGGTCAACTTTTCCTGACTTAATTATTTATTTTATTTCCCAGGACTGAGTGCTTTAGATGTGATGTTATGTCCATGAAGTACCAGCAAGTAGTTGCACTAACTCAAAGCTGATTTTGTGTATTTCATTCTCTTAAGAATCTTTTTCTATTTGAAAAAAGAAAAAGTTGTGCTATCGTAGTCTTGTGGTGTTACTGCTTGCTTATTATATTTATGCCTATTAGACATCTGTTGTAAAAGAGTTAATCTGGGAGGATAACAGAACTCTGGTAGGTATTGGGCTGTGGAGCATTTCATATTTAGTCAAATGGACTTGAATACAGCTGATGTATTCAATCTGTCCCATTTCAACAGCCTCAGAAGTCTCTAGCAGCTGATAATTGTCTGAGCGTGTGAAGTATGCACTACTAGTTCAAGTTCCAGATTTTGGTAACAGATTTCACTCTGGTGTAAGCAACAGCTCAAGATTTCTTGGCAATTTACCCCAGATGTCAGAATTTTTCTGCAATAATTTAAATATAATTTTAGGTGCTATTTCCAAGGATAGTGCAATAATTTAGAAACACAGGTCTTGGGACTCCATGTGTTTGTGGTTTACTTTAGACACAGTTAAGAATCTCATTTGTATCGCTGTTGAAGCTGTTGGATAAAACTGAAAACTTTAGTGAGACTGAGAATATAAGCTTGCTTAGAATCTTTTTATTGCAAATTCAGTCTTAACCTGAGATGGATTGAGTGAGGACACAGTGGCTGAGCCTGTGAGTTGGCGAGTGTGGGTATTGTGTGTTAGAGTGAGTCTAGAAAGGGCTTGGTTAGGCTGCGGGGAGGGGGCTGTTGGCAGTCTGGGCTGCTGCAGCCTGGTCAGGAAGGCAGTGTGGGGTGAGGGGTCCTTCCAGAGGGAACTTATGGGCTGGCTTGGGAGAGCTTCTGAAGAGCAAGGTGTGAGGCTTACGGGAAACCAGGAGAGGTAGGGAGATTCTCAGGAAGAGAATGGGTAGGTCAAGATTTTCCAAGGAACATGGATGGGGATGTTTGTTTTACTTATTTGTACCCTACTAAAAAGTTGTAGCTGCAGAGACTGAAATCCTCTGGGGGAGGGATGGGGACATTTCCTTCTTGAAGAGAACCTCTGCCGACTCCGATTCTGTCACAGCATTGGCAAAATTTGGGAAATGTCAATCTCATGCACTGTAGTTCTGAGCACCGGTCTATTCTTTCCGTACAGGGGAAAGTCTATGTCTGTCTTGGCTTAGAAAGAAAAGACACTTCTGATCTTTGTTAGTAACTCTGAGATATGCTGTAATGAGAACAAAGGATCCCATTTCAGAGGATCAAAGCAATTTCCAGAATGTTGAAAAAATTATCTATCCTGCACCAACAAATCACTCATTGGGGAAAAATCTTACAGCAGGATTTTGAGTATTGTATGCTGGTTTATGCATAATCTAATTCAGAGACTCATCTGAAGGGCTCTGACAGACGTCTCTGAGCAAGATCTTATTTGCTAAAACAGTAACTGTTTTGCTAGCATGAGCAGCCTCGTGCCCTATTACTAAATTTCACTGACTAGGACCCTTTAAGAAGGATCCTCTTCCTGCACCAGAAATAATATATCGCCTTAGAAACTGTCTTTAAGAGAATGGAACAGTAATGTTATGCTTTGACCACTAGTTCCTCTCTACAAACTTAGAAACAAGAAAGAGATAGAAAGAAGTGCGGAGGTATAAAGTTCTCCTTTTGGAAGTTGATTCCATAACTATCATGTCCAGCCACACTGGAATGAAATATCATGATCTCACATGCGAGATCTCTCAAATTAGCTGCCCCCAGTACATCTTGTGTTATCTTTAAGTTTCTACAGATTGAATATAGGATGCTTTTAGCATGTGCAGTTATATCTGAAATGTTCTGTAGCAACATTTTTTTCATAGCCTTTGCCAAAACATCTTACGTAACACCTTGTGGGCTTACAGCTCATATTAATTTCTGAGTATGACTGATGTGTTATTAATGGTCCTGCAATTCAGGTACTTCCAATCTTCTGTTTCCTTTTTCTTGCTTAAAAAATAGTTTTGACCTTTTGCTGTACAGAAGTACATCATTAAATTACCCCTGTTGCCAGAGGCTGCAGTAGCTCCCAGCTCCATGTCAGGCTGCATGAATCCACCAGAGGCAGTGACCGCCTGCCAGCACCGAGTCCTTGCGTTGCTTTGAAGCAGTTTGATTAACACCACAGTTTGGAAATCCCTGCCTCATTCTCCCTTGGGCTATCTCACATTAATAATTCTTTGTTGTCAAGGTAACTTACCAGCTACTGTTGGTTAATTATTTATTTAATGACTTTGAGGAGGAATAAGCTAATCTCTGTCAGTCTCTAGCTGTAAGATTTTTATAGGGGAGAATTTAGTGTTTTTAACAAGCTAGTAAAGAAAGAAACATTTACGTCATGGATTACTAACTTTGTTCTGGCTAAATTAATGAAAATCTTTTTGGAATGATTTTGTTCTCAGTGTCTTTAGTACCATATCCTGGAAAGTTGTTTTTCAGTGGGTGATCATTCCCGTTTGGCATTCTGACAAGGCTTTTAAAGATCAGGCTGTTCTGCAAGCTCATCCGAAAACTCATCTGTTCTGAATGCTTTGTGGAAATCCAATCTTATTCTATCAACCCACTTGTCAAAATTTTGCTCATGCCCTTATTTCTTGCACGTATAATATACTCAGCTGGGTTTCTGCTTCAACCGGAGAAAACGCTTTATAAAGTTTCCCGTCTTGGTCATTTTATTTGACTTCAGAGGACTACACTTATCTCTTTCTTATTGTTCATATATGATTTTCCGTGTCCATCTCTCTTACTTTTTTTTAAGTGGAAAAGATACAGTTTAGAACTTGCTGTCTTCCATTGCTGATGAGTATCCTGTGGTTTGGGCCATCAGAATTGTCAGTATTGCCTTATCTGGAGAGAGAATACTGAAGCACTTCAGGATTTATAGTTAAATCTAGCTAGTCCTAGATAGATCTAGTATGTATCCCTGCATGGCATTTGAATGGTGTTTAGTGGGATTACCGCTATTAAACTGTTTAGATTACTTCAGACATAATCTTACAGAGTCAATTTGAAGAAATTTGAATGCATAACCTGTTTCTTTCCAAAATCTTCCCCTTTAAATATTAGTTTTGAAGCCTGTCTACAAACTTGATTTTTGATGAAGACCTTTTTTCTTTCATCAGGTTATTCATGATGTGTTCATAAACTCAAAATCAAACTTTTTTTCTGTTTATGTTTTTGAAGAAAGATTTCTCTTTAGAAATGTAATTCCCATTACAGTTTGTTTCTTCCCATATTTACCATGTATACAGTTAGTAAGTTCAATCTATGTGAGATTCTATTTAATTAAAATATATTACAGGGACACAGTGCATCTGAAATCCTTTAGCATGGTCCAAAATATACAGTAAGATTAAAGAGGCAAAAAGAAAACCCCAGCAAACTGTGTCACAAAATTAATGAGGTTATTCCTCACAGGATTCAGAGTCCAACCTCTCTACTGAAGAACTATTCCAGGCATTGCTTTGACGTATTTGAAGAGAAGATGTTGAGAAGTGTGGGAGGGTATTCATTGAAACAACTACTCTTCTCCCTGTGTAAAAATTTCATTCTTCAAAGACTCGACCATCAGATATCTTTGTAGGCATCTCTTAGCAGTTGCTCCTACAGAGCTGCATTTTTATTTATGAACTGTCTTCTCTTCAGGAATGACTGCAATTTAACTACTGTAAGTGGAGTTATTTTTTGGAGATGTGTTTGGCTGCCTAAACTTAAGGGCCTGATCCTGCAGTTTTGTCCAACAAAATGGCCTTACTCTCATTTGACCTATTTACACTGCTGTTATTACACAGCTGTTCAGTGGTACTGGGGGCAGCAAATATTGATCAAGCCCTGTCTTAAGTATTCACTTTCTCCCATAAAGGATTGATGAGCCACATTTTTCTTTTAAGAGAAATTAGCATGTCTCTTTAGTAAAGTTTAATTTGGACTTTTGGACAGATGTTCAGTCACGGTGAAACTGTTTTTGAGTACCACATGAATGAAAAGTATCCTTGAACTGACTTTACTGCCCATTGCATGACATAATATCTCTCTGAAGCCCAAAGGCATGTGTTTTATACAAGGTGTGTTAGCAAAATAATTGGTTAAAAAACCCCAACCAACCACGGGTGTCCTCTGGGCACGTGGGATTTTGTGAGCGCTCTGGAGGCTAGAACCCCAGGTACATTCTGGAGTGAGCTCAGACTCTCTCTTTTGACTGCTGGAGTTCTCTATAATTATTTCATTGAATTTTTGTTCAGTGCTCTATCAGGGAGTGGACAACAGAGACTAGAAGAAAGGGTCAATACCTCCATTTTTCATGTTTTATTGCCTCTGAAATCTAATTTGCACCCATATCTATTTATAAATGAGGCAGGGTAAAATGATAATCTTATACTCTGTTTTGCAATTTCAATATTACCTCTTGTCCTCCTGTCCGACTTTTAGTTGTGTTCAGTTTTCTTTATCAAATGTCTCCTGCTAGACTTTCCCTGGACACTTAGTGTTAGCTGTGCCAAATTCTTGAGACGTTTAGTGAGCGAAGCCAATGCCTGCAGCTAACAAGCTTCAGCATTACAGGATAATCTGGGCCTTGTATTAGTGTTAGCATGTTGTTATAAAACACACTAAGAAAACACTCATAATTATGATAAATACTCGAATAGCTGGACAGTGAGCATTCAGAAAACAGAAACTGTAGGTAGGGAAAAGTGGTGTGAGATGTGTAATTCAGTGAAAAGGGGGAAAAAAATAAAAAGGAAAGAAAAGCTGCTTATCAATTAAAAAAAAAG